ATATTATATTATATTATATTATATTATATTATATTATATTATATTATATTATATTATATATATATCCACTTTTGGCAAGTCGGATAGATTCACATACAAGTTGGCTTCATGCATCATGCCATGTCAATCTTAAGAGGACATTGGATAATTTGTGACTCAACAAGCTGTGAATATTCAGCCAGTGCTGACATAGTATATTGGATGAACCAGCCATTTGGTCCTCAGACCAGATAATTCTGGATCTAAAAAGAAGTGGCTACAAGCTTGAGGGACGCAGTGGTTCAGTGGCTAAGACTCTTGAGCTTGTTGATCAGAAAGGTCGGCGGTTCGAATTCCTAGCGCTGCGTACTGGTGTGAGCTCACGTTACTTGTCCCAGCTTCTGCCAACCTAGCAGTTCGAAAGCATGTAAAAAATAGAAAAATAGGAACCACCTTTGGTGGGAAGGTAACAGTGTTCAGTGCGCCTTTGGCGTTGAGTCATGCCGGCCACATGACCACGGACAACGCTGGCTCTTTGGCTTTGAAACGGAGATGAGCACCGCCCCCTAGAGTCTGGAACAACTAGCACAGATGTGCAAGGGGAACCTTTACCTTACCAGTTTGTTAAACTGTAGTTAGAAGCATGTGACTCACTAAGGCCAAACGGCTTTTTCTGCTGTTTTTTCTTTGTCCGCTTTCTTTGCCTCTGAAAGGAGGAAGACGTGGAGCAGCTGGTGAAGAAGACAATGGCCCTGCAGACAGACATTGTGGAACTACAGAGAATCCCACAGGGCGGAAAACAAGGGAGCTCCTTGGATGATCTGTAAGTTGTGGCTTCATGGTACTCCTTATCTAGCAGTCATAATTCTGCTTAAAACAAGGATCTGTTCCAATATCCATTAGTTGGAAGCAACAAAGGCCTTCTTCCCCACCCCCAATATTCTGTATAATAAATAAGTTGTGTTCATATAATATACCTGATTCCATTGTTCCATTAAGGCAAATATGTCTGGGCACTGTTTGACCCCATGGACAACGTTCCTCCAGGCCTTCCTGTCCTCTATCGTTCTCTGGAGTCCATTCAAGCTCACGCCAACTGTTTCAGTGACTCCATCCATCCACCTCCTTCTCTGCTGTCCCCTTCTTCTTCTTTTGCCCTCCATCTTTCCCAGCATGAGGCTCTTCTCCAGGGAGTCCTTCCTTCTCATTAGGTGGCCAAAGTCTTTTGAGATTCCTCTTCAGGATCTGGCCTTCTAAAGAGCAGCTAGGGTGGATCTCCTCTATGACTGACTGACTGGATCTCCTTGCAGTCCAAGGGATCACAGGAGTCT